TTCCAAACCAGACCATTGATGACAAAATGTGCACATTGTGGCAGAACTCTTAATAGCTAATTTAATTGGAGAAGCACCAGGATAATATAATCATGATGCCTAGTCTAACTTTGCAGTCCCAAAGATATATTGCAATCCAAGATCAGTCATCCAAAACTGTTCTGCATTTAGCAGATTAAAGAAGTCTAATCTGGAAGCTACAGAATATGGACAATTGAGCTCAGGCTTAACTGCCTCAGTTCTCAGGGATCAGCTGAGAATTTTAGGTACCAAAATAAACTCAAGAATTTAACTTGGCATATTTTGCAAATGAAGTTACTAGCTTGTTTATCTTAAAACTAAAACACTCTGAGAATTGCTAGTTTTAACCTTTAGTGTGTGGGGATTATTTGCCTGACATGCTTTTATTCAAACAGTTTGATCCTGACCACCATCCCGTCTGCTTTTTTCCATCTTCCTTTTTTCTATGTTTCCCTTCCTCCTGTGTCTTTGTTGTTGCTGCTGCTGTTGCTTGAATACTGTTACATTTATGGGAAGACCTGGTTTATCTTCACTATTAATTCTTTTTGGCAGAACCTGATCATGGTTGACTTCATGACCTTCTCCCACCTCCTCTCCCAAGCCCCTTCTCCTAATTTGTTTCTTCAGAGAGAGAGAGAAAAAAATGAGATGATTATCAGAGTGTTGCAAAATCTACAAGCATCTCAGTCTTTTATTACACCAGGAGGAAATGCTTGATGATGTGTGTCATGGAGTTCACATATGTGTCACTTGTAGCTCAGAGGACTAGGGGACAGGCTTTGCATACCTGCCATTTAGTGCTGGGTGTTTCCAGATAATGCACTTCAAGTGGCTTTGGAATGCTATTTTCAACTATCATACACCAGACATTTATAGGGAGTAATATTGTAATGTACTGTAATGGATGCTTAAAGTGTCAAATTTAGCAGAAATGGCTAAGATTTCTGCTTATTTGAAGGATCACTCACAAGAAAGATACATTTTGGTCTGGAGAAGATGGATAGATTATATTCAGAATAAATATGGGACTAAAAAGTTCCATCTAGTTTATGAGTAAATTTTAGAGTATTATTATTATTAATAGTTTATTATAGTGGAATTTTTATTAGTTTTATTATTATTTTTAGTATTAGTATTGTTTAACAATTTGGATATTGTATTGTTTAATAATTAGGATATTAACTTGTTTATATTATTATGTTTATTTTTAATTTGTTTATCTTTATGTTAAAGGGGAGTTAAAGCGCATTATGGACTTGGTTATTTATATAGTTGTTAATGTTAGTTAGAGTATGATTGTTATATTTGTAACCCTGTACTCAGCTCTGGGAAGTGGGGGAGGGAAAGGGGAGGTTAGGGGTGGGTGGGTTTTGGGGTGTAACTTTTATAAAACTTTTCAATTAAAAAAAATATTGTAATGTACTGTAATGTACTGTATAATAGGGTGCGTGTCTTAGAAGATACGGAATAGCACATTTGCTAAAGGTACAGTGGGTGATTTTGAATCTAAAGAAAATACTTTGAGAAGTCCACACACATTTTCATGGAATACAGTACTGTAAAAGAAAGCTCTTTTCAGAGAAACATAGGCAATTTCATTCCAACTTAGGTTTGACTTTCCCATAAAGAGGCTTCAGCTCACATCTGTTACTTGGTAGACTAGGCCAGAACAAGATTAGGAAAACAGATTACACCATTTAAAACAAACTGTAACATTAAAATAACACGGCCACTGTGTGAATAATTCAACAGTCAGCATTAAAATCTCTTGGGGGCTAAAGAAACCAAGTTTAAAAGAGTGGAGCAAACATTAAACCAATAATGACACTCTGATTCACCCATCATTCTGAGTTACATTGGCAAGATTCATATATTGGACTAAAGTACAGTGAGATTAGAAACTCCCAAATGGTGAAGTTTGGCACGAAAAAAAGATCAACAGGTGGGGGGAATTTACCAAATACACAAATATATACAAAAAAAGCAGGGAGCCTACTGTTCATATATTTGTCAGGACCAGTGAAATGCAGAAATTTAGGTATTGGAATAGGGTGAAGGAGATCTGGATTTAAATCTTCACTCAGCCATGAAAATTGGCTGGTTGGTTTTGAGCTAGTCACTCTCAACTCAACTTTCTTCTCAGCCTTCCTGTTGTGTGGATGAAAAATGGAGGGAGACCCTCGTGTAAGATGCTTAAGTTTGTGGCGAAACAGCACTATCGATCAAGTAAATCTACACTCAAGTCTCCTGCATGACATTTACAGTTTACTCCTAAGAGAACTCTGAATCTTTGTATCACTTGGACACATCTAATCTTGGATGGTGGTGATTTAACTTGCAGAATTAGTAGAGAATCTTTTTTGCCTGCCCAGTTCCTTAATTTTGATACATTCCCTTCAATCTGAACCCTCAAGAAATCTTGCAATGAAGTGACATACAAGACTGGACTAAACGGACAGACCTGGAAGAAGACACCACTTTGTAGACAGAACGCATACCCTATGCTATGTGAGTTTTGTTAACCATGGTTTATTGGATCGGTCACATTTTCTAGAAATAGTCACTTGATGGCAATTGTTGCATGAAATGAAATGCTACACATAACTCACCTTACTGCCATTATAGATTTAATAAAATCTGAACTGGGGAAATGGACAATTTTTAATAAAATTCACCATTGAACTTGAATAGAGCAGAGATGTACACTTCAGAAGGAAATGCAAAACTGATATGACTCGTGCAGGCTTCAATTTCCTTTATAAACATCCATACTGGAACCCAAACCAAATGAAAAAAAAAATGCTGGAAAGGGCAAATTTTGCTTAGTGAGGAAGAGAGAGGATGAAAGGTTGTCAGAAAGATGCCTTCAGATGCAGAACATGGAGCAGATTTGTACTGCATTAGGTCAGGCAGATCTCTCCTGGTTGGGGATGGTGGGATTCTCCAGCTGAAGAAGATAGGAAAAAACATCTATCCCAGTTCACACTCCTCCACCTAGCTCAGTCTGTTCTACTTTTGAGGATTTTACTTTTAGTCTCTGAGCAGGAAAAGCCAACGAAGAAAAACGTAGACGCTTCTGCAGACAAAAGGACTCTAGCGCCCTTTGTTAAGATCACATTAAGCTTTTGGCTTTAATTTAGCAAGTTTGAATTCAGCCACAACCAACCATGACTTATCAGACAAACCATGGTTCAGTAAACCACAATCTAATGTAATGTGCAAATCTAGTCAATATGGGCAGTATAAATTCTTATGATGCAAAACATTTTTAAAAAAAAAAAAAAAAAAAGGCTCCTTTGAAAATCCATTTTATCCTGAGTGTTGTTTTAGCTAACTGGATGCCTCCAGGAATTAGTTTGAAATGTTACATATTTGGCTTCTGAATCATTTAATTAAGAATTAGGCTGCCTTTTAGACAAAGGTAGATCCTTAACTAGCCAAAACAGTAGCCAAAAACTGCACATAAATAAATATGTAGAGCACCAAAGTTTGTGGGGGGGGGAAACACAAATCTTTAAAGGTTATATTAAAGTCAACAAAGATCCTCTGAAAAATTGCAGTCTGGGTTGACAATGTTTAATAGCAATGTCAGTACTGATCAAGGAGAGGTATAATAACATCTCTTTTATGCATTTTATGTATAAAGGCTGGCTTAAGATCATAAAAAGGCTTATACAAAACATCCATCATGCAGGACATTTTTGCATTTATTCCAACTCCACAACTGAAATCGGTAAATCATATTTTACTTCACGGTGCAGCCAGGTTTGAAACTAAAATTTCTTTCTTACTTGCTGACGTCTCTGCTGAAATTTCCAGGATTATAGCAAAGTTTTGCTCAATTGCAATCGCAGTGAGTAGATTCCAGGTTTGCTGTTAAGAGTGCTAACCTTCTACATTTTTCCCTCTTTATTTTTATTCCATTTTTACAGAGGGTTGCTAGAATCTCATCACTACTTTCTTTCTGTAAGCAGCTTCTTCTTCTGGACTGTTGTATCGTGTCGCTGGCTGTAAATTTATCAAGCAAGTAAAGGGGGAAGCAACGATAGTGGGACGCTAATTGAATGCTAAGGACAACAAATCAGAAAAAAATCAAAGGAAAACTAGAAGGGATTAGAGTATCCTGAAAAAGGGCATGTAGCTGGCTAGAACACCAAATATGAGAACACATAGACTGCAATAGTTGAAGGCAACTTCAGCCACCTTCTTCTTCTGCACATGAAATAAAAGCAGACAGACACACATTTGGTCTTCCACTCAATGAGCAACATTTGCCCATCCAGAAAAAGGGGCAAAATGCAAGGAGCCCAATGGCTGCTAGGCTGGGCTAAGCGGCAGCTGCCTTTGAGAAACACCATAGCAGCAGACAGACTTGTTGTGAACAGAAGTTGCCAGAAAAACTTGGATTTTCTACTTCCCAATCTGGTTTAGGCAGTGAAAGAAGATGGAAAAGAAGCCCAAGGCTGACAGCCGTGGTAGGTCACTTCTCCGCCTCCCAAAAGTGGGGTGAAGGAACAGCGCAACTAGTTATCTGTAAAGATGGGCAAACTATTCTTCCTTCCCGAAAGACACAGATCCCAATCATCCCTGTGGGACACTGGACCAAGAGCCAGCCTTCCCCAACCTCCAAAGCTGTTGGGTTGCTGGGAATTTCACAAGCTGCGTGTCCCTGTCTCTGGGAAAGGCTATTCACCCAAATTAGCAGGGGGGAAGTGAACGGTTGCTGGAATTGGGTCTGTCTAGTCTAATGAAGAGAAGGACGAGGGGGGACATGATAGCAGTATTCCAATATCTCAGGGGCTGCCCCATAGAAGAGGGAGTCAAGCTATTCTCCAAAGCTCTGGAAGGCAGGACAAGAAGCAACCAATGGAAACTAACTAAAGAGAGAAGCAACCTAGAACTAAGGAGAAACTTCCTGACTGTTAGAACAATTAACCAGTGGAACAACCTGCCTCCAGAAGTGGTGAATGCTCCAACACTGGAAGTTTTTAAGAAGAGACTGTACAGCCATTTGTCCAAAATGGTATAGGGTTTCCTGCCTGAGCAGGGGGTTGGACTCAATGACCTCCAAGGTCCCTTCCAACTTTATTATTATTACAAATAAAAGCTGATGGCATGCTGCCTTTTATATCCTAAGTTGTTGGGGGTTTTGCCTTTGGGGAAAAAAAGGGACATTTGGAATCTAGTATATGAATTGTGTACTAAAATTTGATCCTACCATCTCTCTTGACCTCTTGATAGGAGGTTGACAGTTGCTAGTAATAAAATGAATACAAAGAATATTATTCCCCCTGTTCTTCTGATAAGGTTTTCCTTTCAAGATTCAGTCTGTTAAATGAATGGATTGCTTTTAAACGGCAGGGTCACTAGCAATGCAGCCCAATGGTAACAAAAAGAACTTTATATATATATCTGGAGGATAGCAGTTGCAGAAGGCTGAAGTATGCCAGTCTTCAGGTCTGCTGCCATCTGCCTCCCCCAATCCACTCCAGCTGTTCCCCCAACTGGTAGGAGAAGAGCAGGTGGAACTAGGGGTCGGAGTTAAGCGCATCATCAGCTTTGAGTCATTACATTGCCACAAATGATCCAAGCCAAACCGCTCTTAAATTCCATTGACTCTTATCTGGTGCCAATTTAGCACTGAACTTTAGTTGACTAGATTATTGTGCATAGGCTTGAGCAATAAATCTTCTGAATTGCAACTTAACACACAGTCCTGATCCTTTGTACCTGGCACAACTGTTCCTTATGCCAACCTTCATATCTGCTGCCATCTGTCTCCTTCAACCCACTCCAGCTATTCCCCCAACTCTCCTTTACCCTTCTGCTCTCATGGTCCACCAAAATGATCACCACCAAAGTGGAGGTAAATTCATCTTTCTCTTGGATATGGTGCTTAGCATGTTAGCAAATTCCAGCACTTAAATCAAAAATGCATGTCAATCTAACACCAAAGAAAGGAGAAGTGCATCTTCTAACATGCCCCACACCCCAGCCTTCAAGCCAGAGCAAGGTGGTGCCCCTATATTTTACCGTTAGGATATTTGGATTCTGAATTGTTGGGACATTTTTCTGCAGAAGCCAGCAAAGAGGGACAGCCATTTCTGGACATGGGCTTCCTAACTGCTCAATATTTCACCTAGAGAAGGAGAAACTAAAGAATGAGCTCCAGTTCAGTGCCTGAAAACTGTCAGTCCATTTCTGAAAAAGAAATCAAACAAAGTTTGCAGCCGCAACAGAGACACAGTAACAAAAACTACTATATAGTGGGTTAGATTATCTGCCTAAGCCAGCATCATCAGGACTGACAGTTAATGGTCAAAAGGAAGGATTTACTAGTGTTGTCATAACTCTGAAATAAAAATAAAACAGAAACCCCACTGCATAGCAGCAAGGAGTTGGGTGTTCTGTATCTCTTTTCAGCCTCTAGTAGGCATCTGGAATTCTGCAGCCCAGTTCTGATAGCCCTAGGACAGCTGGGGAATTCTGGGAGTTGAAGTCCACAAGTCTTAAAGTGGCCAGGTTTGAGGACCCCTGCTCTAGGATGTCCTATCACCAGCCACCTGATTCTGGCTCCAGCATACAGGGCATGTTTTACACCTGAGTTATAATCAGCTTTGTTCACAGTCCAGGAACTGAAATAGCTACCACAGGATTCATTGCTCATTAATGTACTACCGTAGTTACAAATCCTCTTCTGAACACACTTACTAGAGAGCAAGTTTCAGTGAGAATAGCTCAGACTTGCTTTCAAGCAACTATGTAAAGGATTCTGATAGGACACATCTTCACAACCCTTCCAGTTTCCTCGTAGCACGTTAGAGGGCAAGAAATGTAGACCCTTCCAAAAACAATTTTGGACTCTCCCTGTTCCCCAGATGCCATTCAGTCTCCAGTCAACTCTCTTTCCATCCCCACTACCATTCCCAACACCTACTCTTCCAGTTGTGGACACAAAGTGATCTGGGTGCCTTGGAGTTGGATTTCCCCCAGAAAACGCTGTGTACAACTGTGCCCGTTGCTGGGCAGATACAAATGCTTTGTTTCCTCGGTCCTGTTACTGGAGCCACTGCTGGTGCTACCAGTGCCCAAGTCCTCCTCTTCCTCCTCTTCCTCTTCCTCCTCTCTGGAAACTGTAGCAATGGACTTGCTCTCCCGGGAGCTGAAGGCACGGAGGCATCTCTGCAGGTCCTTGGAGAAAGCATGAAGCTGGGAATCCGATCTCCAAGGGCAACACAAGAGTTTTCTGAAGGCACACCTGAAGTCAGGACTGCGGCAGTAGATGATGGGGTTGAAAGCTGAATTGACGTAGCCTAGCCAGTTGAAGAAGCGGAAAAGTGGGTCAGGGACAAAGGATCTTGCAAAGACCTTGATGATGTTGGCCACAAAGAAGGGCAGCCAACAGAGAGTGAAGACACCAATGATGATGCCCAAAGTCTTCAGGGCTTTGTGCTCTTTGATGGCAAGCAGGAGACGGGAGGGCCTCCTACGGCGGAAGCCTTTGGATGCATCCTGAAGGAACCTGCCCTTGTCCTTTTCGATGACATGAAGTTGCCTGGTAGCGATGGCAAAGACCCGGGCATAGACAAAAATCATGACCAACAGAGGCACGTAGAAAGAGATGATGGAAGACAAGATGGCATAGGGCTTGTTGGTGACAAAGTCACAGCACTGAGGATCCTGGTAACAGCGCAAGGCTTCCTCGTCAGCTACATCCCGCCACCAGTGGTTCATGATGGGCAAGAAGGAGATGAAGGCAGCCACGGCCCACACCAGGCAGACCACACCCCGTGCTCGGCTCTTGGTCATCAGCATCTCATACTTCAGTGGGGCTGTGATAGCCAAGTATCGGTCCACTGCAATGACACACAGGGTCTCGATGCTGGCCGTCACACACAGCACATCCAGCGAGGTCCACAGCTCACAGACAATAGTGCCATACAACCAGTGGCCGCTCAGAACCAGGGTGGCCCCTGGAGGCACCACCAAAAGCCCCATGATGAGATCAGCGCAGGCTAGAGAAGTGATGAAGACGTTGGTCATGGTCTGCAGGCGAGGGGTCTTAGCAATGGCCACCACCACCAGCAGGTTGCCGGCCACCGTCACCAGCACCGCCAGGCTGAGGGCAGCTCCGAGCGCCCCCTGCCGGCTGAGGCTGCTTTCCGTCCCAGAACAATTGGTGCCGTTGCCCCCCAGCCCCGCTTGCTCCGCCGACCCCGGCCAGGTCTCGTTGGGGGGCCACGGGGGAGCCATGGCAGAGAGGGCAGGCTGGAAGGGGAACGAACCTGGCTTGCCGCCCTCTGGACGCCTGGAGTCCACCAAAGCTGCCCTCCGCGGGAAGGGAGTGCGCTCTCCAGGCGCACGGGACCCCCGGCCGTCGCCGCCGCTGCTGAAGGCTCCGCAGCCCAGCCCCTGCTCGGGGGAAGACTGAAGGCGCCTCGGAGGGACAGCGCCGCCCTGCCCTCGGTGGGCACTGCTCAGAGGAGGAGTTCTTAAAGGCGCAGGACCCAGAGGCGGGACGCGGGCGTTGGTCTCTGGGTCTCCCTGGCCTCCGTCCTCTCCTCCGCAGCAGGAAAGCCACTGGCTTCGCAGCCTCGCCAGAGCTTTTGACTTGCTCCGTGCAAAGCCCCTTTCATCCTGGGCAAAGAATGGACCCATCCCGTCCGTACCCTCCCCGTCTGCAGAACTCTTCTCCCCCTCCCTCCCTGCCTCCCCCTTTCCTTGGCATTAAAGGTTGAGGCTCACTTTTCTGGGCGACTGAAGGATGAAGGTCCAATGGCAGAACTAAGTTACGCCTCGCTTTAGCCTCTCCAGCCCATCTGAACCCACCGCGCCGTCCAAAGCAATGACATTGGCCGCGGTCGTCCCTTTCTTCCACCAAGCCCCGCGACAGTCCTCGGTCCCTGGGCTTCCCGACACCTTCCCAAGGACGGGGGTGGAGGGAGAGGGAGAAGGAAGAGCGGCAGCCTTCACACGGCCTTTTGGCAACCGAGGTCCGCCGCTCAGCAAAACCATCTTCCCGAGCCCTGAAAATTCGTTTGGGTACTTATGACTCTCTTCGGCGCGCAATTAGCGCGAAGCCAGCCTTCGATGACGGCTCCCATGAAAGGCCAGGTGGGCTGGGGATGAAGGTGGAAGGGTGTAGCTTGGCCGCCCTCGTGGTCTCTCCTCCGCTCCCTTTTGGAGTGGTCGTCCAACACATTTAGGGTTGGGTGTGGGGAGCATGGCACTGACTGGGGGGTGGGGGGGGGAGAAAAGGAAGTGTCCGTGCCAGGGCCTTCTACCGTTTGCCCTTCATGATTCTCGTACAGTGGAAAATGCGGCGGCATTAAGGGCTGGGATGTGAACAGGGCATCCCCGCAGAACTTCCCACTTCAGGCCCACCGGCTTCCCCAGCTCAAGTTACCGCACTAGCTGGAAGCGTCTGGTGTCACCTCTAACTCCGCGCCATCCCTCCCGTTCTGCTCTCCCCCCCCCCCGCCGGATCAATTGCCTTTTTCTGTCTTTCTCCCCCCTCCTCACCTTCCGATAAAATCGGAAGTTTCAATGCGTGGGGAGATTCCACCGAAGCTGCAGCGAGATTCCACCGGGGTCACCTGTCCGTGACCAAGCAAAGACGGGGGGGGGGCAGTTCCTTTCTCTGGCTCTCTGAACGCCCCGCATGATTCTGCTGGCTACTGAATGGTACCATTGGCTGAGTTTATTCAGTGCTCGAAGCATAATCGCACCAGACTAACTTGATCCTCAGTTTACGCCCCGCGCCGAGGCGCAGAAATGTTATACGAGTTCAGCCACTGCTGCAGATTTAACTGACTTGGTTGAGCTGGCAAGCTCTGTTTTTCTCCCAAATCCATGCGCAAAACCCAAGCAATAGGGAGAATCACTGGGTTCAATAGAGTAGTAGGAGATGAAAACACCCTGGGGGCAGCTTTGCCCTGTCCCCCCTTTTCTCTTAGGGAGAGAAACCAATTTTTCCGTGCAGTCCCAAAACAAAACAATCAAACTTACGGTCACGTCCTAATGCAGCAGTTGAATGCAGGTTAGTCCCTAGTCGCTAGAACACATCCAGAGAAAAGACCTTTAGTTTTTGGCAGCTGCATTTTTCTCCCCACCCCCCCCAACCCCCCCCTTAAACCTCATGTTAAGCGTAGGGGATCCAAGGTCAGTCAGTGGTCACACCTGCTGAAAAGAAGAAGATGTGATCTTTTCTCCCCTCCGTGGATGCACACAACTGTCCCAATACAGATTCTTTCATCTCCTCATCACATTTTTTGGGGGTGAGGAACAAGGAACCTGATCTCAAATGGGATTAAGGTGCAGAGGACCATCTCCATACTGGGTCCACACTTTCCAGATGGTGCTCAACCTGGCATGATCCTGAAATGCTAGGAATGCAAATGCCAACACCTTCTTTTCCAGCAAGAAATTCCGGGAGCTGTAGTCCCCTCAAAACTGGAGGGGACCAGTTTTAGGAAACCTGTTCTAGAAGGGTTGGTGGAGAAACAGTGACACCTTCAAATGAATGTCTAGTATGGTCTCTGCCTGCTGTCTGTGGACCGGTTTTAACAGAAAGAAAGTTCAGGAGATTGCTAAGATTGCCAATCCTAAAGGAAATAAACCCTGACTGTCCTTTGAAGGGTAGATACTGAAACTCAGATAATTTGGCCACCAAATGAGAAGAGAGGAATCACTGGAAAAGACCCTCATCCTGGGAAAGAGAGAAGGGGACAGTGGAGGATGAGATGGTTAGATTAATGCAGCAAACATGAGTTTGAGCAGGCTGTGGGAGAGAGTGGAGGACATGGGGCCCTGGTGTGATGTGGTCCATGGGGTCATGAAGCGTCTCCGGCATGACTTAGCAACTGAACAACAACTCAACTTGCACGAAGGACCTGGCTCTTGCAAACTGAGATGTTTTGATGGTGGACCCAAGGCTCTTTTGTTTCATGCATGATGAGGGTCAGGGCAGGAAACCTCCAGATTAGTTGGAAAGAACATCTACAAATAACATGACTCAACTCCTTTTAACAAGTTTGCGAGTGCTCCTGGACAAGGCGGGTTGGAAAAGGAATCATCAAATAAGGACATGAAAATAAAGGGCAGAGGCTTATTCTGAGGGATTCATGCTCTGTTGCAGGATAAGCATTCCAGGCTCGTTAGGGTATCTTTACAGAACAAATGTTATGTTCTTGGAGAATGCCAGAGCATCAGGAGGCTCCGATGTTTTTATGACCGCAGTAGCTAATCGCAGCTGAAGACTTGAAAATGTGTTTGTAATAAATATAGGAATGAATGAATAAGATACTGTAGCAGGAATTTGCTTGTTGGTCAACAAAGACTTTGAAACTACTTCTCTTGCAGTCTTTCTCCACCATAATTAAAACTACCAGTAGGAGCTTTTGAGTCTCTCTCTAGTTTGGAGAAACTGAACACAAAGGTTGTAACCAATGCAATGCAATGCAAGACAAACAAACAAACACCTACATGTTTTTCTACCAATTCTCATTAAAGTCATGGGATGTGTAAAATGTCATCACTTTCTCTGTACGGTCATCACTCCACAGTTGGCATCTTACTTTTTAATTAAACTTTTGAAGTAGATTTCATGGAGAACATCCTGCCATGGGAAAAAAATGTAGGTAACCAGGGAGACTTTGGAGTGATGGAAAGATCGGGAACAGCAATTGTAGCACCCTCCTTCTCCTTCAGAAAATCAGCTCAAAAACACCATGAAGAGAAGTTTGATAGAAATATTCAAGCACCTCGAGAATAATAGACCCCCCTTTTCCAGAGAGGCAAAAATCCTGAAAAAACTAGATCCTGGTATAGCATTAATTGTAATATGGGCTTTTCAGATATGCACAACCCCATTCTGATTCATTAATGTATTCTCAGTTATCCTTAAATGAATTTTGCTTGAACTCTGAAATAACTTATTTTGTATCTCCAAAATTATATTTTTATTGCTCATTAGGACACGTCATAGCTCTGGGTACACAGACCCCCTTATCATTTAGTTTTGCTTTGAGAGGATGCTTTTTTTAAGCAAGCACGTGGACACACAAAATTTGTTTATTCTGGCCATAATGAATATATTTTCTGTCCATTGCTTTCTTTCAATGGACAGGCTTAGCAGTCAAACATTTTCTAAATATAGCCATTCACTTAAAGCTTTCTGGACTCTTCACATTGTAGTATTATGCATTTGTTCTATAAAGTCTCCTCTAAGTGTATGTTGAGTTGATGGGTTTAAATCGGGGAAAAAGCATTATCAGCAAAATAAACGACAGGCTTTCTAAACTGCTGGCAAAAGAATGACCTAATAATAATGAAATTTCCAAGTGTTATTATTGTTTGAGACCATTACTTATTTAATGGGTCTACAATATAAGAGTAACACTTAAGCAGAGGCTAGATTCAATGCATTCTTCCTGGATGGGATTTTTCCCTATGAATGTTTGTCATTCCCTTGTGAGACCGATAACATTTCGCTTTAAAGCTAGAGGCTCACAAAAGCTCTTTTGCTTAAATTCAAATGGTTTTTACAAGTGGAACGTCTGCAGTCAGAAATATGCAGCCCAATAAACTTGTTTGACAGATTTTCTTTTTCTCCTTGCTTTGCTAATTATTTGGAATGCTTCTGTGTTATAATGGCCTTATTTCTCCAGAGCCATTGCATTAAAGACATAACAAATAGAGAAACAGGAGATGGCAAATATCTATCTACCCATCTATTTATCTATTCTTCATTAGTTGTGGGATGACTTTGTTGTTAATGAAGTTGTCTATATTTTTTTAAAAAAATATTTTTGGCCTCCAAAATCTCCAAAAGATTTTGAATGTCATTATTTCAAAAGCAAAATGGTAGTTAAAACTTTTTCAAAATTTTGTTTGGATATATCCTTCCTTCCTTCCTTCCTTCCTTCCTTCCTTCCTTTCCTCCCTTCCTTCCTTTCCTCCCTTCCTTCCTTCTCTCCATTAAAAAACAGAAACAACCAGACAGAGGGCAGATAATGAAAATAATGGAAGAGGCAAGACAGGGGTGACATATTCTGAAATCTTACAACAATAAAATAAGCTCTAAGAAATGAGCTGAAGACATTCAAAGCCATCATGAAAATGAGGTGAATAAACAGAAGTGTCTTTCATGGGAGGGAAAAAAACCCCTCACTCTGGAATTGGAAGGCACATTTTGGCACAACAATAGCACATTTCTATTCTGATGTATTACTACTACTACTACAACTACTACTACTACTACTACTACAGTTATTTAAGATTTAATCTTCAATTTGATTTACAGTCACGGACTGGTAAAAGTTTAACAATTCAAGTCCTAACTAAGGATTTAAGAACTGTTAAAGTACTATTATTATTGTTGTTGTTGTTGGTAATATTATTAGTAATATTAGTATTATTATGTGTTACCATTTTGCAAGCAGCCAATACCACAATCCAAGCTCTTGTATAAACATTATGCATTTATTGTATCTGATTTTCCCATGATGGAGCATTTTTCCCCTTGAGAAACTGTTTTTGTATATATGTGTACTTCTCTTTGTATGGGGACAACATGTTCTGTCCTTGTCCAGGATCGTTCTAAAGCCTCTGAATTCCATGTTCAGCAGTGCTATGGAAGTAAAGATATTTTTAAAAACCCAAAAAGTCTGCTTCGATTTTGTGATCCTCT